TAGGTCCAGCTAATAACATACTAGTGTGTAGTGGTGGGCCGGGCATTTTCCTCCTAGGCCTTCAGTGGTGTCCTACCTGAATCAAACCACCTCCTAACACCGTCATTATGACGCCACGGCTATAGAAACCATCATTTTTACGCAGGAAGGCAACAAAACAGGATGTTGCACAGCAGACAGGGAGCTCATGTAGCGAGAATGAATGTCATCACTAAAGCAAGAAACCCAGTTAACACAATTCAACAAGTCTCCTTTGACTGCAGCCACAGCTGCACCACATACAGCACATCTAGCAGGAGCATCAGTACCAACCCAAATAAATGACAAAAATATATAGGTAACACTTTATAATAACTATCCATTATAACTAGTTAATAGATCATTTGTAAACTGTTAATTAGTGAGTTATTAACCACTTGTTAAGTGTTTGTTAATAATTTATAACAATGCCTTATAGATAGTTAATAAACCATTTACAAACTGTTAGTTAATGAGTTATAAATGACTTGTTAACTGTATATTAATGATTTACAGCCATACCTTATAAACCAGTCACAGATCATGAACAAGCCATTAGTGAATTACTTACTAATGACTTGTTAAGTATCAGTTAATAGTTTATGTTGTTTATGTTTATGTTATTGGGACGTTGTTCTAAAGTTTCAACTATAAATCATCAACAAACTATTAAACACTTAACAAGTGGTTAAGAACTCACTAGTTAACAGTTTACAAATGATCTATTAACTAGTTATAATGGATAGTTATTATAAAGTGTTACCAATATATATTTTACTCATCAAAACCTGTGATTGTTTGTACACAAACTCCATCCTTCTTTCTTTCCTCACAAGGATTTCAGTCACTCTGTTGAGCAGGTAATCTGTATGTTTCACTTCCACCAATCCTGTTGTAGCTCCATAGAGGCTGATGCTGAAAGTCGGGTCTGTCCAGTCGTGTTTCTGGCATAAGTTTTAATTCGCTTTAGGGCTGAGCATATGTGTTTGCTTAACAATACCTTTATGATAAAATTTTAGCTTGTACAGGTTGCTACAGACAGGAACCGCTAGCTCTGGCTGAGCTCTCTGACCATCCAATCAGAGGACGTGAAAGTGCTGATGGGACCACCAACCCTCAATCTGATTGGTTAAAGCAACAGTTTCATTACAGCGCATTTTCAGCTACAGACGCCTGCACTTCTGATTCTGAAGACCTCAGGGCAGATTTCTGTGACCCTGGCAACACATGATGGCTGAAATATGATTGGATAAAAGCTCTAATATAAACATACGCTGCTGGAATCACCACAGCCCAGAGACTAGACTATTTGTTCATCAGCTACACAGCACATTAAAGGTTATTAATCCTATTATTTTTGTAGTTTTGATGATTTAAATTGGTGATGATAATGTTGTACTCACCAAGTTAATTACAGATTGCCAGTGTTGGCAGTTTGGGTCTTTGCTGCTTGTTCTGGAGATATGCAGTCGCTCAGTTGTTGCTATGAACTGCTGTGTTTCTGTTGCANGAAAAATTAAAATATTGGCTTTGGTAGAGAAAGACATGAAATAATAAATAGGACTCACAACAAAAACAGAATGTGTTTTTTTGAACTCCTAACCTGCCTCAAGCTTTCTAAGGTTTATTATTACCAAATTTATTTTCACCAGAACTCTATAAGCTTCACGTTTTCCCTCGTTGAATTAAAAAAAAGTAAAAAAAAAAAAAACAAGGGAAATGTTTTAGTGTGTTATTTCTGTGATGCCTCTTTCCACCTTGTAAAGTGCACGACAGATTGAACCTTGTTGCCCGGGGCCTTGTCAAATGTCATTCTACAAAATGTGGGAAATCGCCCTGTGAAATTTAGGTAGACTGATAGAAAAGCTAAAAAGAGTTGCAATCCTGTGACAGGATCGCTTCAGGAATGAGCAGAAATTGTAGAGTGGCGATGCCTGGCAGGGTGAAAACATGTAAGGATACCATCTCAGTGGACACACGCCTGGCAGTAGGTTGTGATTTAAGCGCGTTTGGGAGACATATTGGATCGATGGCACACGTTTTAAAGCTCACTCTGCTCAATACCCTCCAGACCCGAGGATCTGCACCCTGACACCTAATGGCCACCTGGAGCTGGGTGCCCTTTCAGGACCCAGGGGATCGTACTCTTCAGAGAGGCGGAGCTTCACCGGGGAGTCCAGAAAGAGCAGCGTGATGAGCCTGGGCAAGAGCAGCCTGGAGAGACGCTCCCTCTCCCTGGTATTTTGTCACACTTGTCATCCACAGGCGCTCCTGCATGCACAAAAACACGACTAGCAGCCCGGTCGCTGCACATCAGTATCGGATCCACGTGTGCAGACTTTAAACTGGCCTGAGAGGTGAAACCGGATAAACAGGATAAACAAACAGATGATTTATAAATTAGATGGTGCTGTGTTAGTTATGAGCTCCCCATTTGCACATGATGCCACACATTAACAAACTCCACTGACAGTCCGGTTATATAATGATTCATCCAATTTGCGATACCCACTTTGTCCTGTGGAGGGGGGCGGGAGACTACCAACATAGTAGGGTACGCCTTAGACAGGTTGTCTATCAGAACATCAGACAACTTAATACATGTAAATATAATCAAAACATTTAAATGTCAGTGTGCCTGTATTAGAAAAACAACAACAACAAAAAAATATAAATCAATCTAAAAACCCACACTGTGCTTTGAAAAAACTGTTCCAGTTGCAGTCACAATTTCCACTTTCATCAGGCTTAACGCACCAAAATCTAAATAGTTCTGATAAAAACTCTTTTTAATCTTTAAAAAAAGGCCAAAACCACTAAGTCCTCTTTTATCAGCACATGTCAAAATGTGTGGGAACACAGAACCTTCATCAGAAGCAAATGCTGTTCAAAGTTGGACTAAAACAAACAGATGAGCACCGTCGTAAAAAAAAAAATAGCTTCTTCTAGTTATGGCTGCTCGCAAAAGTCAAGCCTTATCTCCCTCGTGGCGACACGCTCTGATCATGACCAGGCTGGATCTGGCGTCTCTCCACTGGCTTCCTGTCCATTTACTTCTTGTTTTTTTTTACATGGGTTAGCCCCACTTTGTTTATCAGAGCTTATTCAGGTCCACAAACCTGTCAAAGGACTGAGGTCGTCCAGTCGAGTGGTCCTGGAGGTCCCCAGATCCAGACTTCGAACCAAAGGTGACCGAGCCTTTTCAGTGACAGCCCCCAAACTATGGAACAGCTGGACATTAGGACTGCTCAGACTGCTGAATCTTTTAAGTCTCCAGACCCACCTCTACTTGGTGGCTTTCACCTCAATCGGGCGCTGACATCCTGGATGCATATAAATATATGTGTGTGTGGTTGTCATTCTATATTCATATGTGTTCTTTTAAGTGTTGATTATAAGTCTGTAAAGCACTTTGGTCAACCCTGGTTGTTTTTAAATGTGCTACAGAAATAAAATTGACCTTGACCTAATATTAGGACCCCTCTGCTGTAAACAAATAGGGTGAATTTGTGCTTGACAAATATTACGAGACACACGGTCGATGAGCAAAAGAAATTCCTTTAAAGGAGCATCTCTACTTTGCATGAGCTGCTTCCTGGAGTTCCACATTCAGATCAGATGATTGCACTCGATAGTCAAACGTAGACACACATACGTTAGATGTGCACAGTAGGAACGCCCCGACGTTGTGCTCATCGAACTAAGAGAGAAACTGAAACACTTCTGCAAGGTTTGGTTCAGCATACTGTTGCCATGGCGACTTCTATTAATTGACTGCTCCCCTCTCCTCTCCCGTTAGTCTCACAGAAAAGCTGTGGTGGAAGTAGAGAGGAAAAGATGACGACAGGGAGGAGAACACGGCAGAGAGAGAGAGACGGTGATGGAGGGAGACAGGAAGGGCTGATGCATTAACAGGAAGATAGAGGGGGAGCGAGGAGCAGCGCGGCGATAAGCTGTAGTTTAGCAACGCTCTCACCACAGAGGTTAGAATGTTAAACACAGTGGGTGTGGGAGATCCACTTCACTGTGAAGTCTCCTCCTCCTCCTCTTCTCTCGGAGCATTCCGAGTTTATTGATATCAGAAGGCACCAGTTACATCACATGGAGCAAAAGCAGCAGAATAATAAGCATTGAAGAGAGCTGTTTATGAAGAGCTCCATGTGTTGTTCTTTCTCGTCTTTCTGCCGAAGTTTTGTGTTTGTTCTTTGATGAAATCACACTTGAATCAGTTCCATCTGTTTTCTGGGTGTTTTTTTGTGCTTCACTCTGTATCTGATCCCGTTGATTGGACTCAGTCGAAACGCAGGGTTTGATGTGTTTCTGTGTTGTGCTGTGGGACAATCAGAAGTTCTCTCATCAGTGTGATGGCGGGTTGCTTGGTCGGGCTTGTTTGTCTCCGTGTCTGGTTAGTTAGACAATAACTGAATTGTGATAGAAATTTAGATGATGATGCATAAATGAGTAAAACAAGTGCACAGCGGAGTCGAAGATCTCTATTTAAATTAAAAAAGTCACAAACAAGTCACAACTGCATAAAAGATCATCTAAAGTCTATTGTTCACTGATAGGATTCAGTCAAAGGTCATTCTTTTAGGCTTTTGGCACCTAGAATCTGGGCATTTTGTATAAAAATACAATATATTATGTGTTTTAAATTGTTTAATATATATTTGATTTGCATAATTGAATAGCCACTGGCCTCGTGTTACATGTTCTGTAGGGGAGAAAGTTGTAGAAGGTGTAGTGTGTGTTTGGCAGTGAAGACAAGAGCCTTCCAACACAACATACAGTGCATTAGTAGCAGCTGCTGCCTGTGATTTATGCCATATAGTGTGGAACAAATTGTCTTGACAGTAATATTTGTCCAAAACGCACACACACAAACACACACTCAGCGTTCCTCTTGAGTGATCGGCGCTGCAGCTCTGTGCGGACCGAAGTGTTATTTAACATTTAGCTTACACGCTTCGCTGCAGTTTCTATAGAGACGGATGCATAGATTCCCCAGTATATGGCATTTGCACAGGCTTTGACTGGCAACATGTACGTTTTCCAGGGTAAAACATATAATTAGGTCTGTGAGGCTCAGAGGATTAGACATGCGGAAACAAACGGAACTGGTTATGTTCCTTTAAGTGGAACCGGCACTCAGGGGTTTGCGTATTAAACTTGATGACAGCCCACAGTGCACTGCAGTCTCATTTGTGTTTCATTTGTTCAGCCGTGTACTTAATGTTTTATCTATAGATGATTGACATACAGTAGCAGACATGTTCCAGCAGACTCTACTAGTTTAACTTCACTGCTTTGCTCAAGAACTCCAGTGGCTGCAGGACAAGAGGAAGTATTGCTGTATTTCTGGAGATGCTAAAATGCCACATGTAGCAGCTCTTTTTTGTTGAGTGTGGTGTGGCTAATAATATTTACATTTTTTTAGTTTAAATATTACATTGAAATAAATACACTAAGACCAA